ATTTCTCTCAGAAAAATTTAAAATCAAATCAAGCGGTTGTAATCTTCAAATGCAAATAACGTTTAAAGTATTTATTAGAATAAACTGACTGTAGATTTCGGTACGAGGATTATGCTAGCTAAATTATTTTGACTTGTTTTATTTGATTGATTTTAGCTGGTTTCAGAAAAATGATTTTCTCTTTCATGTGAGCCACTTGTTTGAAATACTTAGGATTATCCGGTTGTAATATGTAAATGTATGTAAAGGAATACATAGTGGATGGCCTGACTTAGGCTGATGTGTCAACAATGAGAAAACGAAAACATCGTGGTTTACGCTAGATCCTTTAAATGGCTTCATATCCCTAGCATTGGTGAGAGATTATTTAGGTTGAAAGATGAAGTGGAAAAATTATTTTGAAAATATTTACGTTAATTTCCATGAAACGAGTAATTTTCTGCTTTAAAATCCCTGGTCATATTTTACAAATGCAAACTAGAAAACGTGATAGGATAGAGGTTAGTTTGTTAAATGCTTTCAGGTTTTTGATGAAACATTCAGACTTTGGCTGTACCACACAGGGAAGGCGTACAACTTGCGCAAGTTGGTATATCACAGACTGTTGAAAGCCAACAAGAAACAACGGGTGACAGTCTATTTACTATTGCTTTCTCGGCAACGTATCCATATTTGACCGAGTGCACACCAATTACATTAGTCCTCTATGACACTCCAAAACGTGCCAGACATTTGTTCTCACCACGGAATACTGTGCCTCACACCAAAATACTAGCTCCACATTCACCCAAAATCATGCTCCGTATCTGATATATTAGTCAACAAGTGCTACACTATGAATTGCTACCAACGTGCTAAAACTCACAGCAGTTTGAACGTGTGCAACGGGTACTCAAGCAGACGGAACCAGCATGAGTTAATCGTAAGTGTTTACTGCACTTCCGTGACAATGACCGGCCTGATGTGGCACAGATGATCAGGGATACCATACAGCAAATTGGCTGGTAGACACTGTACCATACATCTAATTCCCCCGAACTTGCGCCAACAAATCCCCACTTTCTTCACAACCTGGAAAATGAAGCTGATTTGCGAGAGGCACGCACAGGTTTCTTTGAATCGAAGACATCTTGTTTTACTGCCAGCACGTTGGAGGCACGTTGATAAAGGGTTCTAGATGCCCATGGGTGTTACTTTGAGGAATAATAGTATTTCAAATTTGATGTATACTTTTTTCTAACAAATCAAAATCGGTAATGGCATTATTGGTTATGCTGTACCGGTTTGAGAACTGATGATAAAAGAAAAGTTCATTTATGAAAATTAGGAACAACGTAGGTTCAATAATAAATCCTTGTGGAACCCCTGCATTAATACAAAAATGATCATGTAAAAGTTGGTCATTCAAGTCAGTTTTCAGTTGGCGATGTCATATGAAAGACTTGATCAGTTAAAATATTCATCCAGAAATACCATAACTTTTCAACTGGTGAAGAAGACCAGTATACCGCTAAATACCTTCGAGATATCAAAAGCAGCAGCACGATTTGCACTATTCCTATCTAAAGCTCGATAGACACTTTCAGCAATAATTATTAACACATCAGCAGTTGAATGAGAGAAGCAAAAGCCATATTGCTTATCTGAAAGCTGACTTTGAAAGGTGAGGTGCATAACAGATTCAGTGGTCTGACGATTGCATCTAGCATGAAACAGACTGTCGCCTCTAAGTGCTTTATGACTTATATATATATATATATATTTATATATATATATATATATATATATATATATAAGTAGGCAAAGGGTTACAATACTTATCAAATATCTATTCTGTATTTCATAATAATTGGATGTTTTACTGGGAATTCGACAATAATGATTGCATTGATCACCCACAATCTATTTCTACATTCAATAAATATTGAGTGTTTTTACTTACATTTCAATGATAAATATCGTTCTAGTCTTGTATAGCGGATTCTGCTGAGAAAGGCCCTGTAAAAAACATTCAATTATATAATTTGACATATATTATTTGCTAGAAATCATAGCTAGTATGTTTATTTTATTTCATTATATATATATATATATATATATATATATAGCAAGATTACAACGTGCTCTCAGACAAATCAAAGAGTGTTGGTGGTCTGCTTAACTCCAAATGGCTGCTGAACAAAAGGACTTAGCTTTTTATTATGATTTAAAACCAGTGTATGGTCCCCAAAAGCACGGTGTCTCTCCAATTCTAGCCAATGAGAGGGATAATCTTCTAACTGATACAGTAGACATACTTTAGCGCTGTTAAGATCATTTTCAAACAGCGCTCAAAATTACCTCAGTCACAGATGATGAAGATGGGAACCCATTTTTCAAGAAGTGCACGTTTCTATCAAGCAGATGTCTGGAAACTCCTGGCGAGGATGCCATCCCTGCTGAAATCTACAGACATGAAGGGCATACATTTTGTAAGCTACTGCACAATCTGTCCATTCAAATTTGACAATCAAGCCATGTTCCACAGGACTTCAAAAATGCCTCCTTGCAACAGCTCTACATGCAAAAAGCTCTTAAAACAGTATTCAATTACCATAGTGGCATCTCACTTTTGTCTATCAGCTCATCCTCAACAGAATTCTAAAACACATTGTCAACGCCATCTACTCTGAATCTTAACGGGGATTTCGTTCCGGCTGTGGCACTATTAATATGATTATTGCCCTACGTCAGGTTGTAGTGAAGGTTTGTGAGCGAAACAAGGAGCTATTTATGGTATTCGCGGACCTTACTAAGGCATTTGATACTGTAAACAGACAACCACCCTGGAAAGTTCACCACTCAGTCGTAATTGTTCGTAGCAAGACAATCCTGATAACCAGGTGCCCACGGTGAGGGATAATAAATATATATATATATATTTATTAATATATGCTTAATAGCTCTGTTGTATTACATCGAGCACTCTTCTATTAATATCAGATTTGAGATGACACACCTCTGGTGCAGAGCAATAATATTTATCATAATCATCCGTTGTATGATCAATATCATCCGGTCCGACTTGAGGAATCAGAGCATAGCACGCGGGAAACTGACAGTCGTGGTCTGCCCGACCTACACCGAAAGATTATGATTTCACCCGGTCTTCATTTTCAGATAAACACTTTTTTCCATAGGTGAAGCACCGATTTCTTTACAGTAAGTAATAAACCTGTCTATTATTCTTAAAATGAGAACGGGAGGCTCGGTCTGTAGTTTTGGATATCTCGAAGGCGTTTAACAGGCTTTTGCATGCTACTTTTGTCAACAAGCGCAAGGGTTATGATTTCTACAGCTGAATATGTAACTTAATCAAACCCTTTTTTACAAATCATGAAATGAATATCGTGTTGAACAGCCACTGCTTATAGATCCTTTCACATGAATGCGGCGCCCTTCCAGGGGTCTGTCTTTGAATCTCTATTGTTTTTCTTCTTCCTTCTCGATGTAATCAGTTCTCAGTTAGTTATGTATGCTGATCAAAATGCTATTTAATTTTGCCTTAATAGAAAGCCAGTTAGTTCCGGCAAAGTAAAATTTTCAGCTGGTCTCAAAACTTATCTTCAATCACTTATTGACTGGAGGGGGGCAACTAATTTATGCTGCGTTGTCTCAGGTTTTCCACTGACATAAAGTGGAGGGATTATATTGAAACAATTGCCAAGTCTATTGCCGGGAAGATTGGTTAGCTGTTATATTGAAACAATTGCCAAGTCTATTGCCAGACAATTTTTCTTGACAGAATCCATCTCACACATTTATAAATCTACTATTCGTCTGTGAATTGATATTGTTTACACATCTGATTTGTTTCTCCTGCTATATATCTCGATATGCTCGACAGAATAGTATGTAATGTTATCGGTCTTGAGCTGGCATCTCGACTTAAGTTATATTCACACGTCCGTGAATTTCCTTCCTTTTTGTCTTTTCTGTATTTTCATGGCAGTTGTTCGAATGATCTCTTGGTACCACATGAAGATGATCGTAATACTACATTGGCAATTAGGTCTCATCGTTTTATTGTTGAAATAGCTTGATGCAAGTGTAAGTTCCATCCTAACAGTTTTGTTTTTTGCCTTTCCCGTCTGTAGAAATCACTTCTTGTTTCCTTTCCACATACAAAGTTATAAACGCAATGTCTATTGTCATCTTCTGTGTTTCTGAAGCCTTTTATTTTATTGTCCTTTCATCTCACTAACGTCTTCTCATTTTCTTTCACTACAGGTAACCCCATGCGTCTTAGTGGCGTTATTGCCTTGCGTTGGATGAAATGATAAAAAATATCTATATGTGCGGACATTGATGTCAAACCCGTGTGCTGATAGTCTGTTTCCTGCTTGCACGCTATTTCCAGGCTGCCCTGCTTTAAACTATCCCTGGTAGCGTAAAACATGGATTTATGCCCTTTCCAAGTGGATTTGTGAGAATCAATAAAACGCTCTCGACTGGAATTCGATCTTTGCTTGCTGATTTCTTAATCCGAGCCACAAGCCATTTCACCACCCACAGATCTAAGCCCCAATTCCCAAGAACGTAAAACACTGATATTTCTTCATCCAACTGTAATTCTTGGCAGAATTCAACAAATTGCCAATTTTCCCCTAAACTTAGACAGGTAAAAGCATTTTTTAACAAATTTACTTCTTAAAAATGCTTTAATAAAAAGTGTTTATTCGTATAAAAGCATCTCTTGAGAAAAAAAACAACAGTAAAATGTAATGTTGTTTGTGTCTGTGAAATAATTATTCATTGGACGAGATTTTCTTCCTGGAAATTAGAATGCTAAAGAAAAAAAAGTTTTTGATGGTTTCTGTTGGCTTCTTCCTAAAAATTTGCAAAATCACAGAAAAAAATCGAAATATATTCGAATATAAAATGCAGATAAGAAATTTGAAATACCAAGGGATCAGGTCAGAAAAATAGGGAAATTTAAGCAAAAATAAAGAAATAATTTTTCATAGAAAATGAATTAAGCAAGGCAGAGCGAGATGGAAGGACAGAAAGGCGAGGTAAGGACATAAACCGTTGTCTTCGGGTATATTGAGTAAATTGGAAAGGGAAAAAGTAATCGGGTTAAAAAGGTGATTTATTGTTGTATGGTAAAGAAAGAAATGCACAGGTTCAAGTACTGTGCAGTTTACAAAATGATTTAAAACGCCGAAGAGGAAACAATAAGTAAAAACAGGAATAAAACAGAGATTGGTGAGGAAACAAATTGAAACGAAAAAGAACGAACATACAGGAAGAAGAAAACACGTTAAAAAAGAAAATGCAAAATGAATACAAAGAAGAATAAATTGAACATTAAAAGTTTGTAGGAAAATGATTAAAATTACCATGCAGAGAAGATGAAGAAACAGAATGAATAAAAAAAGAAAGAAAGAAATAATAGGTCGCAAAAGAGAGTGACAGAAATGCATAAGAAAACAAAGAATATATAAAAGGCGACGACGAAGAAGAATGATTTTGAAGAAGGAAATTGAGAGAGAAAATAAAACAGTAATTATCGTAGTAGTAATATTAGAAGAAGAGAAAGAAAAACTAAGAAAGAAGAAAAAACGAAAACTAACATTATATTATTATTATTATTAGTACTAAAAGCAGAAGAATGTAGAAATTGATGAATATTTCAAAGGCGTAAGAAGGATAACAATAAAATGATCATATAGAAAATATAAATGCAAAATAAATGAAGTCAATAGAGTGAAACAAAAAATAAGACTTTAACATATTATTTGAATTAAATATTTTCGATACATATTGAAAAGACGACGGAAACATGGGAAAAGCGTGAAAATAAAACTGAATTGGAAAGACCATGATAGAAAGAGTAAGAAGAAAATGTCACGTGTAAAGGACGAAGAAAGAAACTAAAAATTGAAAACAAAGAAAAGAATTAGAAAAAAAGAGCTTTGAAAAATAAGCATTTTGTAAGATGAGGATAAAAATAATTTGAAGAAATAATTAGAAGAGAAAACCAAGTGCCAGAAACTAAAAAATGATGAAAAAACAAAAAAATTATATAACCTAAAACATTTGATAAAGGAAATTTCATGAAAATAGTGTTGAATTGTTTAAGACAATAAAAATTTCGTTAATAGTAAGCTTTAACTAAGGATATTTATTGTAGATAAAAGTGTACGGGTGTGGCACCAGGCCAAAAGTGGGGAGTGGGTAGGTTGATCATCTATCTTACAATTACACTTAGATAGTCGTAATAACTGACCCAAACATACCGCAATAAACATTGCACCGAAACAATACATTCTAACATACCATTACAGCCGCCACTAATAACTCAGAGTTTGTATGAAGTCCTCCTTATCGTCATCATGGCTTGGCTTTGCAAAACGAAGATCAAGAGGGAGTCTGTACACATCGTTTGCAGGCACGTCTGTGACCAATCCACAACAGGCATACACGGTCGCAGCAGTTGCAGCTGAAAGTCCTACCTAGTCCCTATATGTACAGTTTGTCTGTGGGGGTGGGTAATAAAATAACAACTTTTAAATTTCCCCTATGAATTTTTACAATAAAATCATGATTTATTTACAAGAAACAAAACAAAATAGTGTTAGTAATAGAAACCCCCACAATCCTTAACTGTGACAGTAACATCAGTTTACTGGGCAAAAATAATGAGGGATTTTAATAATTCAATATTCGACCAAGCACCCACTCAAACACACGCTCATCCAGATACAAAAACAAATAAAAAAAGCATAAGAAAGCATCTCTGGTCATCTAACAGGAGAGCGGAGGGGGAGTTAAACTAAAGAAAGTGGGGAAAAAATAAAAAGGGCCAATGAGCATACAGACCTTATTAAAGTTAACTTTGACGGAGAAAACAAAACGCAAAACAATCCTAAACTACACTATATTCGGTAGTGTTGTCAATGTTCAAGCCAGAATTTCCAATGTCCTACTGCCTAACCGGTATCAAAATATTACTTATTTTAGCACCTTTCACTCAAAACAGAGACACAAGAATCACCCACCATTTGCCAAATACTGATAAAGGGAGTCGTCGCCTTTCCATTGCAATATTGACTTTAGACTTTAAAGAACTCATATATCAGCTTTAAACAAAATAAAACGAACATTTTATTGACAAGTCAGAGCAACTCCCTCTACAAAAACCACAATTTTAGTTTGGAGCTGACTGACGGATATATATGCTCGAATTCAAATAATTAATCTCAAAACAGACCAGCTTCGATTTCAACACCGGCGAGCCGAGGGAGAGAGAGAGAGACGCGACACAAACTAGCGTTCATTTCAACACCGACGCGCTGATAGCTAAAAATCACCGACAACTATCAACAATGTCTATTTCACTTCTAATTTCACGATTCTCTCTCTCTGTTGCCTTAGCAGATAATAGTTACTAGTTCTGTATAGATGTAAATACATTATACATTTATTTACCCGTACTCAATGCATTCTTTTTACTTGAATTTACGTTTGCCGATTCGGAGAAGGAACTAACCTCCATAACAGCTACAACAAGGTTCTGACTTTTATGTCAATTATTTCCGCCTCTGCAACACCCTATGCCCCTGCAGTACAAGAAGACGTGATCCAGGGTCTCCACCGACTCACCGCAGTGAACGCGGCCTGTAAATTTTACCAGTCCGGCTGAACAAAGTCTTTTGGCGACAAATAGGGCTCGTCGCAACACCAGCCAGGTGAGTGATGCCTCATCGTTAGCTTCGTTAGACCTAGCTCGTTTTTCAGAACATCTTGATTGAACCCCCTATCTATCACGTGATATAAGTCCTTACGGGACAACGGCTGGACGTAGGAGAGGACTTTCGTCTCCCATAAGAGAGACTTGTGAGCAAATCCGACATTCATGATAGAAAGAGCATTCGCCTCCGTGTAAATGGCGGGCCTTTTCCACGCACAAGTGAATATTTCTCAGGAATGGGAACTTCTTACGGTTGTCTTCTGTCCAGAATTCGCCGTTGCCTTACGATTGCGAACACATTTGATCCAGGAAAACAATGCGAAACGTATGTTGATAAATCTCAAAGCTGGGCATACCCAGGGAGCATTCAAAAGGGTGGAGGTAACAGATCTCCCTACATACCTTATAAGAAGACTCTTATTAGTACGGTGTACGGGATAGGAAGTAGGAAGAATTCGTAAAGAAGATCCAGGTAGAAGTACGAAGCAAATACTGCCGCCCTCCTCTTAAGGAAAGCATCCCTCGGGACCACAGACGGATTGTGAATTAGTCCTTCTCCTGCACCTCCGACCAATTCATTTCTAACAGATACTGACTGAAGCAGACGCCGAATATCTTGAAAGAGACGCCCGTTCAGAGGAAAGGCCTGGGAAGTAAAGCCACTTTCTACGCGTCCAACCGCAGCCAACAAACTTATAGCGGCTGTCAGTGTCTCTTTGCAAACTTCGTCAAAGATAAGCACCAGGTAAGGAAATTCCGCGTGGAATTGGATTCGGCTTTCTCAATGATCAAGCGTATAAAATGAAGGTTGTCCTGAAAAGTCCTACTCTGCACAGCACAATTATTTTCGGGGCCAAGCAGACTAGAGTGGACAGAATGCAAACTATCAGGTAAGATCTTGGCTAAAATTACTTATCCCATCCTATTCTCAAACCAGCCAACCAGCATTAACGCCTCCCAGATCTCAGACACTGTGATTTTACCCTTTCGCCCAGCCGCTTGAGTCGCAGGGAAAGTCAGTTAAATAGGCATTGAACTGATCAGGCTTCAGACCAGGATACCTGGTAAACCAATCCTGAAAGAAGTCTCAAAAAGCCTTACATATGCCCGCGTTTATAGACACTGCGCGCTTGTCCGTCAATGTGATGCTGACGATATGTCGATTGGATGCATTTCGAACCTCTTCCTTACGCAATTCAGCAATCATGTTCGTTGCCTCGGAAAACATTCTTTTTAACCTTGATCCTTCTTGATAAGCAAGGGATTTAATCATCCGATTAGCCTTGGCTTCACATGCCGTTGGCTCTCTAATCTAACTAGACTAATACGGCGACTATAATCAGAAGCAAACGACCTAATATTGGAGTTTGATATATCCAATCACTTATTCCCGATCATAGCTCCAATCAGTTCCCGCTGTAGCATTATTGGCAGCTGGTCCTGGAAATCTCGCTCACCAAATAATTTTGCGTTCAATTTCCAGTAGCCAGCCAACATAAACTTAGGCTTATCTAAGTTTATACGAACCCGGGCTAGCCTATGATTAGTGTACACTATCGAATGTAAAATTGAACAACGTAAAAGCCCTGCATCGACTCTTTTAACTATGATTCGGTCGATGGAGCTAAAACGCACAACAGAGCCGAGCTACACCTATTAGTTCACACTACGTCCCGCGGGTGCTCATTGCAATAGTTATCGACAATATCAAACTTGCCAATATAATCTTGAAATGATTTCACATCCGGGTTGTTATAACCTTATCTTTTCCCTATTTGATCTATATAGAGGTGACGGACAGCATTCCAATCGCTAAAACTATCCGACGATCTGCCTAAACAAATTAAACCGCTCCGTATAAACCAAAATGGGACGAAGAATCTTAATCTGTTTGGTAATATTCGGCACCCAAATCCTGCCTGCTGTCGGATCTGCCAAGACAAGATCATACGCCGCTTTCAGAGAAAACACGAACTCAGGCTCCGGGTATTCAAACTCGCTAACCAGAGAGCCATTTTCAGTCCGATTAGGGTTAGGATTCTGGCTCGAATGTAATCGGGGAAAGGACGCCAACGGCTTCCCCCATTGACCATGAAACATCTCATTCTTAATGGAACAGTTTAGTGATGGAGCGCCAATCTCTCAGGGATATATCAGTTTTAACGCTCTATAGAAGGAGGGATGAACGAAAACAGCCGTTCTACCTAAAACGAAATTGTTTCGGTTTGTTGATTTCCATGTTTTCTACACTTTCAAGTTGTGGGGTGATTCTGAATGAATTGATCGTCTCCTTGACCATACCCCATATCGTCCGCACCCCAAACACTTTTTGATGACTATGAGAACTCTTTTTGCTTGGGTAAATTGATGCGGATCTTCCACATCATGCTCCTCATATTTTTAATTGATAAAAGATATTTCAGTTCTTTGATCCTGTTTACATAATTTTTAGCTCTTTCAGCCTCTGACGGGGAAATACGGCAGACATCCTCGCTGAAATTGTATAGATCTTTGGATGATTTTTCTTTTTTCTTTCCTCTTAAAAAACGGGCTTCTTTGCTTTTAGGTGGATGGAGTGATTTCTTGTTATTTGGATGAAGGGCGTGTGTAGGACGGAGTATAAAGAGTTTTTTTTCTGAAGGTACTGGGATCTCGGCTTAGTGGGATAAACTTACAGTGCAGGCAATGGTATATGAACAGGAAATGACGGGGTAGAAGCTGAGGGTCGTGACGAATTTTGGATGATGTTTTAGTGGGTATTTGATCATCCAGTTTCGCTTTCCGTTGCTTACTTTTTTCAGTTTTTCAAACCCAGGATCGTACTTCCGTTAGATATCTTTAAATGATGTACTTGAGGCTGGGACGTCTCTCTTAACGCTGGTATAGGAAGTGAAACAGTCCCGGAATCTTCAGAAGCTTGAGGTTCCATACCTGACGCTTCCTTCTGACCCTGCCAACAACCAGCCATTCACCCCATTCCTTCTCCAGAACTTCACAATCAGCAGGCAAAGACTTTTCAGGTAATGTCGGCTGTGAACAAGACCCAACCAAGAATTTGAACACTCTGGTTTCGGTAGCTGGCATGTCCATCACAGTCGAGGTGGAAATAACGCGTCAAGGGCCCGAATTCTAGAAGCAGGAAGAAGACAGGTGACCAGTCTCTCTACATTTCCAGCTTGTTGGTTTGTGTCCAGTCACTGGCATTTTGAGACCCGCTACATAGTTGGAGATGGAGAGGAAGGCTTCCCGATCAAACATAATGTTAAAACATCATCTCCTGGTCAGGTTATTACAGGTGTCACGTAGTATTTGACGATACTGAGGCAAGTAGACCGCCAGATGCTCCTCGATAACCCATAGGAGGAAACTCGAACACGGCTACATGATTCTACGACTGCCGTGGTACTCAGTTCTCAAAGTCAAAACTTTTGTGATCAGTCTTCAGGTATGGGTAGCCGTATGTTCTATATGAACAACCCTTAATTGTTCTTTGCGCTTTAACCCGATGGGTCCCCAGTAAATTAACCACTACGTCTTTGGTTGGGTAACAAATTTGGTGCATACGCTTGTCGACCACAAAACTGACATAATCCTTCATTCAACGTTCGTAAGTTTTTGGACTGCTCCAAAATCTCCGCGATGTCGATCACATTTAGTGGGGGAATTCCACAGCCTCAGCTTTCTGCCTGCTATACTATTGCTAACGCTTCTTTCTTTTTATTTGAGTAGTTAGCTTCAGTTGATGTTAATTTTCTCGACAGATACATTAGTGGATAATCTTCTTGAGATAAAATTGAGGCTACAGCATGTTCACTTCCATCCGTAGTCAATATTATTTCTTTTCTGAATCAAAGATTTTTGCAATAGGTTTTCTTATTAGTGCCTATTTTAAGCGTTCAAAGTCGATATTTTGCCGTTCAGTCCATTTAAATACTGTATTCTTTCCAGTAATTCTACAAATGGTTCTATTAGGTCTCTCTATCTAGGTAGATATTTGCTAAAAAAAATGTCAATCCCAGAAAGGCTTCTGATTCTTTTTTTTAGTTTTTGGTCTAGATACTTCCGATATTTTATTTATCTGTTTATTGTCTGGTGGAATTCCTTCTTTAGATATTGTTATTCCAAATACGATATTTTTTCGCAATTTAAGTCACATTTATTGCTATTTATCATCATATCAACATTTTTTAATTTGTTTAAAACTTGTTCATGTTTTTTTTAATTTCTCTTTACTGCAAGGACATATGCTTATATTGTCTCGATATATGATTATGTTTCTTACCCCTTCCGCAAGAACCTTTTCGAATGTCTTTTGAAAAATATGGTTTGAAGTCTCGATTTCAAATGGAAAACGAGTACTTCTTATAATCCTATCAGGGTATTAATTATAGTGACTTTAAATTTTCTGCCAATTTCTATTTGATTATATGCCGATTTCAGGTCAATGTTGACAAAGTATTTAATTCTTGTTAATTAATGACGTTTGACGTTTCTATGTTAGGTAAGAAGAATATATCTGAATATAACTGATCAATAAAATAAAAGTAATTAAAAAGACTTGCGATAATGATTAACCTTGAAGTTAAATTTTTGAAGATCAAAGTTAATTAAAAACCATAAGCGAGAAGTGCGGGAGAAGAAAACTCTTAGTATAAGACTTACGTTTACATCTAGCCATTGCAACAGTAAAATGATTAGACTTAACTGTCAATATAGAACTCCAGTTATATTCAAGCCCCGTTCCGACATTATTTCATAGGCCTTATGGTAGGTAACTGTCTAACTTCTCTTATCTCATGTAAGTTTTCCAATCCTGCTTTATGTGTCCAAGGAATTATCTGTTAAATTATCCTGATTCTGAGCAGAAGCATCTTTCTTGCGAGCTTTAAGATTTCTTCGTTGTTCGCTCCGTCCATGGAAATCTATGAGAAAATCAAATGAAAAGAATGTCATGATTATCGATTTCTCCGCCTGCGGCAGGTTGCGCACTAACATGAGATATACGTTGCCTTAAACTGACGATCTAGTGGCCATGTTCGATGATTTTGTCCATTCGTGCACATTACCACGCCATTGTGTAGTCTGTTGATATCTACTCATTTTTCTGTTTAACATCCTTTCAATGAAAATGTTTCAGAGGCTACATTTTGAGAAAAATGCAGTAATAAATAAATAAACACATGAATATTACCTAATTACAAAGAAGAAAGAATCAAGAAGAATAAATGACATAAGAACGTTTTTTCAGATAGGGGATATTAGTTCTAGAGAAAAAGTATGATTCAAAAACTGACGCTTAATTTTGCTAATGGTTGAAACTTAGTAAGTTTTGTTTTTTTTCCAATTTTATCCTGTCGAGATTTTCAAATAATCTGGTAAGAAATCTTTTATAAAAATATATCTTTTGTCTATCAAAACAATTATATGTTACAAAAGAAAGACAAATGTTACAGAATGCGAAGGCCAGTACTAGAATGATCAGCGATTGGCCGGAGTGACTCGTGTCAGGGCATTTTGACAATGATGGATTACCTTTGTCTAGGTTTTGAATATATGTCCAAAACGGTACGAATTCAAGCAAGGATTGCAAGATATCTGAAGCACCAATACGCCTCCCACACCCAAGATTGCGACCGGCTAATACCACCCGCGGAGGGACGCTGAGCCAACGTTCGGCGCGGGTTCCTGTGACATGAATCCTTCTACTGCCACTTAGAATCAAAGCTGCCACTCTTAATAAAAAGAATACCAAAAGTAAATGTACCTTTCGATGATACCGTTTATTTAGTAACGTGGGGATCCCACGATGGCACAGAACGCAACACAAAAACTGACAAAACTGTCATTATTTAGATAGTCACATAAGGGTATTTAAATGATAATCTGACCAAAAATATCAGAAAATTACACTGTTCTAGTATAGCACTCAAAATTCTAGAACTTTGCTAAACAAGCATCTATAGCAGCATTCGAATCTCAGCGAATGCTTCAAATTTTGCCGCTTGGACCAATCTCAGTTCAGATTAATTAATCATTGAGGAAAGAGGGTCTGGATAATCTAATACTCTCATGACATGTTGAAGGCAGGATGGATATGGGAGTAACCTACGTAACGAACTTGTGCAAATAGGTCGTAGAATTGGGATTGGGTGCGATAACGAAAAGAAAAAAAATTACTAAATGCTAAAAGATATAAATTTGCGGATAGTCATAATTACCTAGGTCCTGAAGGAACATAGCACGCGGAAGATAAAAATGATTAGGAGTTTATGATTGCAAATGATGGTGAATATATAATTGAATAAAATGTAATTTTAATTTACTTATTAAAGAAAGAAGTTGATAAATAAAAACTGACATTATTCACCTGATCCGTTTTACCTAACCAGCTTATATTCAGCTGACATTGCGCCAATAGATTATCCCCTTTTTTTGACTGTGAATATGTTGCGATGAGGTGGAGGGAAATTTCTTTATTAAAGCCAGATATGAGAGTTCGTTGAAATATCCTTTCATATCAAAACCGGTGGAATTGTGCGTAAATGATGTCGCAGAGTGCCCGAGAAGTGGTAACAACTCACTGAAAATAATAAAATATAATTGTACAGTGTTTATCAGTTTTAATTTTTAATAAATAATATTGAAAAAAAATTGGCATTATATCTCGTTCAACCTAACAGAAGCATTGACTGGGATATTTTAATTTGGGTGGTATTTAATCAAAGAGAAGAATATAGAAGGATTGATATTTCATATCATTTAATCACTATTTATTGTGTTTAATGAAATATAATGACTTATTTCGCTTTCAGAAGGCATATTTCGGCATTTCAATCAGAATTTAAACTTTTGCGTCCCATTGCCAATTGTGTGGTCATAAATTATTTAAAATTGTCTACTTGCATAATTATACAAGGTGTGGTGGTTAAATAATCGCTTCTTTATATTTTTAATTTCGCGCTTTTGCTTTTTATATTGTCGCTTGCACAACAGAGTAGGGTCAATTTTGGCACCGTCTGTGAGACAAAAGAGCACGATGACGGAAAATTTGGAAAAGACATGCTGTACTGCTTGGCCTTCAATAGGAACATTTCAGAGTGTTTGGGTGTAAATCTGAGGACAGTGCAGAGGAGCCGAAAAGAGTTTAATGAGTCTAATGGTGATTACAAAGGTATGACAGCTCGGAAAACTAATTCTGATTGTTCTGATAAGCAAAAATCCCGAATCTGTTGGCGAGATCCCGGCCATGACTGAAAATGATCCATTCAAGTCAATCAGGTTCATAGCCAGGTAGGTAGTTCTGCCCTGGGTCAACAGGGCAGAACTACTACTTTTGTTTATTTAGTCCGTGCTTGGAGACCCTGTTTCTGGTAACAGGACTGTGCATCATGCCCCTTAAGTATGAGCTCCACTCAGGGCTGTCAGACAATTTCTACGATCACACCATCCCTTACATCTGGCCTCGTAACTCACTAGACTGAAATCCACTTCATTATTATATGTGTGGCACAGCTGAGCGAGAGCCCAACAAAAATCCTTTTAGCACGAAAGATAAGCTGAAGGCAATGATTATGGCGGCATTCACCAACTTAAACAAGGAGACAGTCCAGAAGAGTTTCAAGAGATTCCGAAGTCATCTGGAGGCCATGGTTGAAGCCAATTCTGATTTTTTAAAATAAATCTACTCTTTAGTTTTTCAAGATATTTTCACGTAATTTTAGTAAAAATATCTTTTAAAATGAGATGTCAGTGTTATTTTCATTTTTGC